ACGCTTTCACTCAAGCCCAACCGGTGGATACTGAGGCATTGTTCCACGAATGTCCGACATTCCGGACGGGAAGTTTTGAATGACTGCAAACGTATGCGCATGCCTGAACTGCGAGTTTGCGCCTTTCATGTCAATGCCCATGCCTTTCAGTCAAGTATTACGGCCGGCAAGAACGCCATCACGAAGATTTTGATCACGGCCGTGGCAGACCAGGTATAGACGTCATCGTGTGTGATGCAAATCAGTTCACGAACCGCAACTTTCGGTCCGATCGACATGCCGATCCGGCGACCGGTGCTGTCCTTACCATCCTTGACCAGATCCTTGTATCAGCCAACACGAAGCGAGAGTCAAGCAAGCGTATCACCTATTATAATTGGGAGGTCTCAACCCTCGCCACTGAACAGCTCGCCGCGTTGGAAGGTCTGGATGCCGATTGCGACTGCTGATTGCAGATCGTCCTCAACTACGGCAAGGACATGCGCACGTTGCAGGCAAGGTCATCCGATATTCCGGAAGACCGCGGACGTATCGGCTACGAGGAACCTCCTCGTCAGAAAGAGACTACCATAAAGGTAAACGAACTCCTGAAACATCTTAATCACCTTGACCTGTGTCTGAGGAGCAGCGACGAAGCATACCGCCATCCTTTCCAATGTAACTTTTCGCTTGCCAGCAGATCCGAGTTCGTAGCAATGCCTCTGCTGCCTATCGTGTTGAGAAAAGTGCCGATCGAGTAGAGCGCCTTAAGGAAAGAGCGCGACAGAATCGACAGGATCGACAGGCAGGTTGGTCAGGCTCTTCCTGGCAGCAACAGGACAATGGTCCTCAGGCGCCTCCAGCTCATGGTGGCAGTCCAGTTCCTCCTGGAACGCCGGCTCCTGTTGGAATGCCGGGTACAGAGGCTACCGAAATTGGTAGATAAACTCTGAACAGCCGATATTCCGGCTAGTAAACTGAAGGTGAACTGCACGAGAGCTAAATGATTGCGTGAACAAAATGACCCAGATTTAGAGAAACAAAGGCCTTACAGAATTTGATTTTAGATTTAACGACTTGAAATTGACTTGAGAAAGTTTCCGATATTCCGGAACTTTCGATGCAACAGAAATGCCTTTCGTAGATTTGTATAGAGTATCTGACGCAACCTAGATGAGCCAGAATGGCATCTACGGTCTAGTTCCAGAACTTTTGTAATTCATTGGCATTCTTTTGCGCTTGCAAGCTTTTGTACTTTTAGCAATCGTAAGCTTCGGCGCGAAGAAAATTTGTGTCTGTTTTGTGTTTGTAGTGCCCTAGGTCCCCTAGGCGTCATGTGTAGCGCCTGTTCTTTGTATATAGACTTGTATGTAGTTCTTCAGTCCGCTATCGACCTAATTCACTTGGCTCAAGACTGTTGAAGCCCAATACCTGCGTCCGCAGCCATAGAAAAGGTGTGCATCGCTGCCGCTCGCACACCGTCGACCTTCGTGACCTCACTGGGTGTATATTCGATCAGGTCCAGTAAAGCTACTGGCACTTCTGGGGGAACTTACCCCTCACCCCCCCCAACCCCCCCCGCGCCACGAAATCTGCACTTCATCTCCGACACCCGCGCCTGCCACGAAATCAATATTTTAAGGTGAACTCCCCGGCGCAAAACTTTCTAACCAAGCAAACATGCCTCCTGCGCTAGTTCTCTTTCTCTTTGCTGTTTCTCTGCTTTTTCTTTGTTTCTTTCTTTCTGTCTTTCTTTCTTTTTCGCAGCTGTTCTCCTTTATCTTTTTGCTTTTGCTTTTCCTTTTGTTTGCTTTGCAGAGACGAAACCAAACAAGGAAGCAAGCAAGCAAGGAAGCAAGCAAGCAAGCAAGCACGAGCTGCTCACCTTTGGATCTGGTGTGCTGCTGGGGGGGGGGCGCTGCGCCCCTCCAACCCCTCCCGCGCCACGAAATCTGCACATCATCCCCGACACCCGCGCCTGCCACGAAATCAATATTTTAAGGTGAACTCCCCGGCGCAAAAATTTTCTAACCAAGCAAATATGCCCCCTCTATCTATCTCTCTATCTATCTATCTATCTATGTATGTATCTATCGATCCATTGATCTTTCTATCTTTCTATCTGTCTATCTGCAGTCAACATCCACAAAGTATTACACCTGCCACGAAATCTGCACTTCAAGGTCCACAAAGTCTTGCGCCTGCCACCAAATCTGCACTCCAAGGCCCACAAAGTCCTGCACTGCCACCAACTCTACACTTCCACATCAAAAACTCCTGCGCCTGCCACGAAATCTGCACTCCAAGGCCCACAAAGTCCTGCACCTGCCACCAACTCTGCACTTCCACATCCACAAAGTCCTGCGCCTGCCGCGAAATCTGCACTTCAAGGTCCACAAAGTCCTGCGCCTGCCACGAAATCTGCGCTCCAAGGGCCACAAAGTACTACACCTGCCACGAAATCTGCACTTCAAGGTCCACAGAAAGTCCTGCGCCCGCCACAAAATCTGCACTCCAAGGCCCATAAAGTCCTGCGCCTGCCACTGGCCACCAACTCTGCACTTCAACATCCACAAAGTCCTGCACCTGCCACGAAATGTGCATTGCAAGGTCCACAAAGTACTGCGCCTGCCACGAAACACTATGACTACCACTACGATACTGCTGCTATTATAGTACTGTTGCTACCCTCACTGCTACTGCAATTTGGAATACTTTTTTTTGAGTCAGTTTTTTTTCCCGAATGCGTAGCGAAGGGTTCTCGTTTAACTCTTGGGGGTCTGGGGGTGGAGCCTTGTTCGTGACCCGTTGGTTCTAAGTTCGCAACCGTTCGCAACCGTTCGCAACCGTTCGCAACCGTTCGCAACCGTTCGCAACCGTTCGCGGTAGAGCGCTAAGGCGCTGCCATTGGGGGAAGCTTTTGCAAGTGACTATTCATGGATGTGTCACGTGTCAGTTTGCGCCGCTATTCCATTGTGATTTGCATGAAAATGACATGTCGCGCAAGGAACGTGATGCGTTTCGCTGCGCAGGCGCAGCGTTTTGTGAGATCTGCAGACAGCTGCGCAGTTCCATTGGGATTAGCGTTTGGAGAGTCGTGTTTTTGCGGTGTTGGATGTGGCCGTGCCATTGGGATTTGCGTTTCAGGGTGTGGCATCGAAGCTCGGTTTTCGTGACAGGTCTCAGCTGAAATGGCGATTTTGGTGGATGGGAGTGTGCTCAGAACGGGTCAAAATCATTCCAAACGCGTGGTGTGGTGCAAATTTTGTTGAAGCTCACATGAGATGATATTGTCACTTTTCGTGGCAGGCGCAGGACTTTGTGCGGGTTTTGAGGCGTGGAAGTGCTATTCTAGTGGCAGGCGCAGGGAATCGTGAGGTTGCGAGGGGTGACGGAGGTGACATTTCGTGGCAGGCGCAGTACTTTGCACGCGTCGGACGTGTGGACGCGGAAAGATTCGTGGCAGGAGCAGGGAATCGGGAGGTTGTGAGTTGTGGTAGAGGTGAATGTCGCTGTCACATTGGGATTGGCGTGTGAGCGGGCGTCGTTTGGAGGGGCTGGAATCGCGAAACTGCTTGGCAGGGCTGCGTGATGTGTGTGCTCCGACGGGTGTTTCCGCTGGACTTTTGGAGGAAGTCTCGTGCGAAACATTCGTTTTGCAGACTTTGACATGTGAGTTTTTGAGGAAGTCTTGTACGAAACGCTCGTTTTGGTGACTGGACATGTGACTTTTGGAGGAAGTCTCGTGCGAAATGCTCGTTTTGGAGACTTGACGTGTGACTTTTGGAGGAAGTCTCGTACGAAATGCTTGTTTTTGAGACTTGACGGGTGACATTTGGAGGAAGTCTCGTACGAAACGCTCGTCTTGCAGCCTCGCAGCGTGACTTTTGGAGGAACCCTACAGGAGTGTCCCACAAGAGTGTCCTACAAGAGTGTCCCACAAGTGTCCTACAAGAGTATCCCACAAGAGCTTCCTACAAGAGTGTCCCACAAGAGTGTCCCGTGTCCCACAAGAGTGTCCCACAAGAGTGTCCCGCAAGAGTGTCCCA